TCATTATTCCGCCCGCTCCTCTCTCCAGCTTCGTGCCTTTTCCGATGCTGATTGGGCTGGGGATCCTACTGACCGGCGCTCTACTACCGGGTTCTGCTTTTTCTTGGGTGATTCTCTTATTTCTTGGCGCAGCAAGAAACAATCTCTTACTGCTCGCTCCAGTACTGAGGCTGAATATCGTGCTCTTGCTGATACTACTCAGGAACTTCTCTGGCTTCGTTGGCTTCTTGCTGACATGGGTGTTTCTCCCTCTGGTGCTACTGCCCTCTTTTGTGACAATCACAGTGCTCTTCAAATTGCTCACAATGATGTTTTTCATGATCGCACCAAGCACATTGAGATTGACTGCCATTTTGTTCGTCAACACGTTACTCATGGTACTGTCCATCTCCATCCCATCTCCTCTGCTGATCAACCTGCTGATATCTTCACCAAAGCCCATTCTCCTGGCCGCTTCGTTGAACTTGTCTCCAAACTCCAGTTGGTTGATGTTTGTCCTCCTTGAGTTTGAGGGGGGCTGTTAATATATGAATATAATATATGAATATAATTGTATATGAATATAATATAATACTATATCTGTTGTTAATATATTATAGTATAGACACCAATTATAGCATGATATAATAGGATTCCCTTTGTCACCCGCTTTCGGTGCGCCATCATCCTTCGGCCCCTTTTTCTTATTATATTCAATTGTATCATCATAATGTTTCTGTAACAAGCTCCTATATAATGGAGCCTCAATCTTGATTCAATATATAGAGTTTACATTACAATTCTCTTTCAATATTACTCTCTCAATTTGTCTTTCATAATTTGTCTTTCAGAAAGCGAAAATGAAGATACAATCATAACTGTAAAATTCTTGCTAAGAAATAAAGGATGCGAGTGAACTTGGTATAGATAGATAAATGAAAATATGAAACAGAGTTTTTGAGAAAAATATGATCAAATTAAGTGATCAATAATGTAGGAAGAGTTCCTTACAAAGGCATCTTCAGATAAGGGACTGATAAGATTAATGGTGTGCATGGGTGAAGCACTCAGAACCATTGCTTTCAAAGTGAGAACAGCTTCTTGTGGAGGAACAGCCTGTCTCAACTCTTTTGGAGATGAGCAGCTCGCAGTTGACATGCTCGCCGATAAGCTCCTTTTTGAGGTTACACATACACTTTTAATTTAAAACTACTTTTCTTTATGTATACATGTATATATTCTCTTTCTTCCCTATCATTCAAATTCAAAACTGCTATGTTCCATTTTGCGTTTACAGAAGAAACATCTTCAAATTTGGTACGGTTTTTTTTTAATTATTATTATTAAAAAAAAAAAAAAAAACCACTGTCCTTTCTCATGTTTAATTCAGAAACAAAAACAATGAAAAAAGTTGGGAAATATAATTCCAAAATGGAAAAAGGTTTTTTGCAACCCATCATACTACGGGAATTACTATTGCACATGCAGTTGGCAGCTTAGGAAGGTGCCACATGGTAAAATATTTAAAATCCACACCTTCATTAGCCACTCCATTCAGTCAATGTTAAATGCATCAGTGAAAAAACTTGATTTTTGAATGATAAATATTTTAACATGTTACGAACTTCCAACTTACATAATTAAGCTTAAAAGAGTCAAAACATTCATATGATTGAGGTTAGGGCTTTACTTATGATAATAAAGAACTCACTGATCACATCACTTGATTCCCAATACTGTTTATATTTGCAGTTTTCTTATATATATAGTTCAATGTTTATGTTCAAGCGCATTCTTTGGATCTTCAACTTCATGCATGTGGAATTTGCTTTTATATTGATTTCTCTGACACTTGAAATTGATGCCTAGGCCTTGACTTATTCCCACTACTGCAAATATGCTTGCTCTGAGGAAGTCCCTGAACTCCAAGACATGGGAGGCCCAGCTCAAGGTTAGAAGCTGTAGTTACTTAGTAATCATAATGTGAAATCACAAAACCAGAAGAAAAAAATCATATAAATTTTTGTGACCATTTTGGTCTTTGGTTTTTGAAATATGAACAGGTGTATTCAGTTTTGCTTTTGATCCTCTTGATGGGAAGCTGTAGTTATTTAGTAATCATAATTTGAAAATCACAATACCCGAAAAAAAAAAAAAAAAATCACATAAATTTTTGTGACCATTTTGGTTTTTGGAATATGAACAGGTGGATTCAGTGTTGCTTTTGACCCTCTTGATGGGTCTAGTATAGTGGACACAAATTTCACAGTTGGCACCATATTTGGGGTGTGGCCTGGAGACAAGTTAACAGGTGTGACAGGGAGAGATCAAGTTGCTGCAGCCATGGGGATTTACGGACCCCGAACTACATATGTTCTTGCTCTTAAAGACATGCCAGGCACTCATGAGTTCCTTCTTCTTGATGAAGGTTTGGTTTTGAACAATTTTTCCATATTTTATTTATATGGGAATGTGTTGTGGTGCTTCAATTCAAACCCAAGAATTTTGCTTCTGGCACTGATTTTGCAAATTGTTAATATGAAAATGACTGTTCCTTTTTAAAACATGTTCATTTTATTTTATTTTTGCAATAAACCCATCTATGTTGATAAATAGGTAGATCAAATTAAATGACTTCTAGATAAAATAATCCCGCATTTGAGGGATAACTAATCCCGAGAGGGCTATTTGTCTTGCATATAACACTTATCGCAAAATTTCAAAAATACGCCAATCTGTCCACCAATCAAAAGTGGCCTAAAGAGTTATTTGCATATGATTCCCAAATATTTCTCTTACTTTCTGTCTCAACAAATTTTCCCTTTGGGGACAGGAAAATGGCTACAAGTCAAAGACACAACAGAAATTGGTGAAGGAAAGATGTTCTCTCCTGGAAATTTGAGAGCCACATCTGACAACCCTGACTATGACAAGGTTACACTTCTTTACTAAATTTCTACAACCATCTACATTTGCTGTTTCCATTTTCTTTTTTTCTATGTCTATTTCTATACAAACTTTGAGTATCTAATCAACTAATCAAATATGAACAACACAGCTGATCAACTACTATGTAAGAGAGAAATATACATTGCGATACACTGGAGGAATGGTGCCGGATGTAAATCAGGTCTTTGCATGTCTACTACATAAACCTCTTCGGCATATTTTAACTTTATTATGCATCGTTTGTTTTAGTGAAAAATGTTTTTTGAAAAATATTTTTCTACTTTATAATATTTGGTATAATACAAAATGAAAGTCAACGAAAAACGTTCTAATAGTCAACATAAAACAAATTTATTTGGACAAAAACATTTTCTCCTTTTGAAGGTTGAAAACATTTTCCGGACAAAGTTTTATCAACATCACCACATTACCAACACCACCCCTAATAAAACCACTCACTATAGCACATTAGTTTTAAGATCATAAGAAAACGTTTTTTATAGATTTTGTCGAAGCAAATAGAGCATTAATTTCAATTTTTTAATAGATCAACCAGGTTCTGTGAATATCATAAACATTGTTAAAAAAATTCATTCATTCTTTGTTAATTAATTTATTTTAAAAATTGTGCAGATAATAGTGAAAGAGAAAGGTATATTCACAAATGTGACATCCCCATCAGCGAAAGCAAAGCTGAGGCTGCTGTTTGAGGTGGCTCCTTTAGGGTTCTTAATTGAGAAAGCAGGGGGATACAGTAGTGATGGCAAACAGTCTGTGCTTGACAAGGTGATTGTTAATCTTGATGACAGGACTCAAGTTGCTTATGGATCCAAGAACGAGATTATCCGATTTGAGGAAACACTATACGGTTCCTCCAGGCTCAAGACCGGTGTGCCAGTTAGCGCCGTTGCTGCTTAAGCTAATTTGCTTTGTTTTCTTGCCTTTTAATTTTTTAAATTTTTTTTCTATTATCTTTTTCTTCATAGAACAAAAAGTTAAAATTACATCTATACAGGTTTGTATTATAGTTTATCAAGATGTATATATTTGGTTTATAGCTAGAGCTAGACTCAAGTTAAATGATTCACAAGGTTGAATTGTCTTAAGATGGAGACTGGAGGGAGAGATCAAGCAGTTTCAGTGTTTGTTCTTCTTTTACATGAACTTACTTTTGATTTAAACAACTATAATACAATTAATATTTCAAATACAACCTTGTATTGAATGTCACAAACTCACAGCTACATACATATAATGTTTCTCTTTACTGTTTTGAAGGCCTACATATCTTCTGATTTTCAAATATTCAATTGGACAGAAAGAACTTAGCTCCCCAAGTTTTCGACACTACTAATGCCTCTATATCAACCGGCAGCTATTATCTCCAAAAAAGACAATCTATCAATAAGCAGCTATTTACGGGTTATAACACTTGTACTTTTATGAAGAAAGTCTTGCACATACGAATTCAGTGAAAAGTGATATAAATGAGGGCTTAATTAGAAGTTCCCGGTAATCTATATATGCTATCCAATATATCCTTGAGAGACATGGGTAGGAGCACTTGGCAATGGATTGCTATAGCAGCAATGCAGTCTATATATGCACTCCAACAAGACACAGATAGGTCGAGTATCTAAGGAAAGGCTTGTTTGGTTTCTATGGACCCATCATCACACATATATATACTTGTGTTTATAGAAGGGGAACAAGCAATGTAGGTTTAGATAGGTATGCAAATTCATTGAAGGTTGTGGATTATGGGGACAATTCAACCCTGCAGATTGACCGGACGTTTATCAAACCTCATAAAGAAGGTGCATGTGAGTGAGGACAGAATAATAATTGACTACATCTTTGATTTCTCCATAAATCTTCTCTATTAAAAGGTTTGAGGGGTGCTATGAAAGCTTCAGCCAAAAAAGGGTTTGAAAACAGAAAAGACCGAAATTGATACATAAAACTTGTTTTGAGGAAGGTTTTCTGAACTTATTTAACATTGCTTTCTCACAAAAATAAAATTATATATATATATATGATAGTTTTAGCTTTTGGATAAAACTCTCTTTAGAATGAACTACATTTTGTATTGAATTTTTCTCACTTATTATTCATATATTTTGCCCATTGGCTTACATCCTTTTATATAGAGAAGGTTATACAAAAATTCAATGAATAAGATTCATGAACCTAAACAACCTTACAATTACCTAGGTACATCAATATAATCTAGATATTGTACTTAATAAATATAAAATACATGAATATAAAAATACATGAATACAAAGAATGTATGAACTCAATGTATCCAATGCATGCAATGTATCCAATGTATCTAATGTAAATATGGCATTAATTTTAACACTCCCCCTTAATGCCATATTGTGTGACACCCAACATTTCTCTAAAAAATTCAAACTTGTCCCTTGGTAGAGCTTTGGTGAAGATGTCCGCAACTTGATCTTCAGTCTTGCAATACTTGATTTGAATCTCATCATCTTCCACAGCTTCTCTAATGAAATGATGTTTGATAGCAATGTGTTTGGTACGAGAATGGTAGACGGGATTCTTTGCCATAGCAATTGCAGACTTATTATCACACATAATTGGAGTAGCTTCACCTTGCTTCTCACCAAAATCATCCAAAATTCTTCTTAGCCAAATTGCTTGTGTAGTTGCCAATGATGCTGAAATATATTCGGCTCCAGCAAATGATTGTGCCACAGTTTGTTGTTTCTTGGATAACCATGAAATTACGCCAGATCCAAGAGAAAATGAATACCCATAAGTGCTTCTCATATCATCAACACATCCGGCCCAATCACTATCACAAAATCCAATTAACTTTGCATCAGGAAATTTCTCATAAAAAATTTCATAATCAAGTGTACCTTGAATGTATCTCAACACTCTTTTTGCAACCCCAAAATGAATTTGGCTTGGACTGTGCATGAACCGAGACAATAAACTTGTAGCATACATGATGTCCGGTCTTGTAGCAGTTAAGTACAACAAACTTCCAACCAAACTTCTATAACAAGATGCTTCAGCTTCTTTGCTTCCATCTTCCTTTGACAACTTTTCATTCACAATCAAGGGAGTAGCAACTGCTTCGCAATTCTTCATTTTAAATTTCTTAAGAAGTGTTTGAGCATACTTCTTTTGGAAAATAAAAACACCACCATTGTTTTAGTAGATTTCAATGCCTCAAAAATGATGCAATAGCCCCAAATCACTCATTTCATATTTCTTCATCATCTCCCTTTTAAAATCTTCAATCAATTTTTCATTACTACCGGTAAAAACCAAATCATCAACATAAAGTGAAACAATGACAATACCGGTTGTACCTTGCCTCTTGATGTACAAAGTTAGCTCACTTTTGCTTCTTTGAAAACCCTTTTCATTGAAGTAAGCATCAATTTCACTATACCATGCCCGGGGTGCTTGCTTTAGGCCATATAAAGCCTTCTTCAACTTGTACACTTTATCTTCTTTGCCTTTGACAGCAAAGCCTTGAGGTTGATCAACATACACCTCTTCTTCTAATTTTTCATTCAAAAATGCTGATTTTACATCAAGTTGGTGCAAGAACCAGCCCTTTTGAGCCACCAAAGCAATGATAGCTCTAATTGTATCAAGTCGAGCCACAGCAGAAAAAGTTTCTTGGAAATCAATTCTTGGTTGTTGTGAATACCCTTTTGCCACAAGTTTGCTTTGTTCTTTTGAATAGAGCCATCCGGATTGAACTTTGTTTTGAAAATCCACTTCACACCAATTATTTCTTTTTCTTTTGGTTGCATTTCTTCCTCCTCCTCTTCCTCTTCCTTGGGAATTAGAGGTACTAACATTGAGCTTGGATTGAAAGGCACTTTCAATTGACTTTTCAGATTGCCTACGCAACCTTTGCTCAAATGCTTTAATTGAACCCATCAATTCTTCAATACTCAAATCAGCAAAATCTTTAGTTTCTTCAATGATAACAACAATGGGACTGTATTTCTCTGGCAAACTTATCAAAATTTTCTCAACAACTCTTTGATTAGTAATAGTATCTCCATAAATTTTCATTTGGTTTACAAGTTCCATAACCCTAGAAAAATAATCCTTCAACAATTCTATACCCTTCATCTTTAAATTTTCAAAATCTTTTTTCAATGATTAAAGTTTGATGGTTCTTACCTTCAAGTTGCCTCTATACTCTTTCTGAAGAATATCCCATGCCTCCTTCGCTTTTGTTGCATTGATAATTCTTTGAAAGATTGCTTCTGAAACTCCTTGTTGAATAAAAGAGAGAGCCATTGAATCATTATTCCTGTGCTCTTTTAATTGGTTCTTTTGGGGATTTGTCAAAGCTCCTTCATCTTCAGGTTCCGCGAACCCATTTTCAACAAGATCCCAAAGATCCATGTAGACAAAAATAGTTCTCATTTTCACATATCAAAAATCAAAATTTTCACCATTAAAGATAGGAGTAGATACATTTTGATTGTTGGGATTCGCCATGGACGTCGGTTTGTTCTTGTTCGGGGCTTGTTTTCCCGCATCCGATCTCTACGCCCAGCTTGCTCTTGACCCAACCAAAGCTCTGATACTACTTATGTTAGCTTTTGATAAAACTCTCTTTAGAATGAACTATATTTTGTATTGCATTTTTCTCACTTATTATTCATATATTTTGCCCATAGGCTTACATCCTTTTATATAGAGAAGGTTATACAAAAGTTCAATGAATAAGATCCATGAACCTAAAGTAGTAGACACGCTGTCACATTTGACAATGGATGGAACTCATTGGGGATATGTAAGGCTTCTCGTCATTCTTCATCTCATGTCTCTTCGTTTATTGCGATTCAAAAAATATGTCGCTTCTTCCCATTCACTTCCGAAAAGACTTTATTCGTCCACCCCTTTAGTTTCTATCACTTGATTACAACTGTGGCATCCCTCATTTGTTCAGACGCTCCTCATTTTTCTCTTGTAAGTCTTCTGAACCCCCATTTTCATCTTTCTTGTGTTTTTGTTCTAGTTAAATTTCTGACTTTACTCTATCACTGGTCCACCTTTTTGTCTTCGGTCTGTCCATCCTTCAACATTTCCATGGTAAACTATCTAAAATCCTTGCTCTCTAAGAGTAAGGTCGCCATTTTTTGCCACCATTATTCTATTCTCGACGATGTTCAAATAGAGCTTATTGCAGGAGGATATAGAGAGAATGGACACTCATACCATAGTGTTTCCGTTGCTAGCCATTGCCAAAGGCGGAGTGCGATTTCCCTTGTACCCTTTTCTTCGAACTGTTCTCCATTATTAGGCGTTGATTCCCTCACAACCAAATGTAAATTTTCACCAATAATCATGGGTATCGTAGCACTCAACCGCCAATTGAGAATTAATCTGGGCATCCCTGCTATTTGGCACTGCTACGCCCTTGCCAAATTATCTAGACAACTAAGACAGTTCTTCCTTAGGGCCAAGGACACGGATCATCAGCTGGTGACCATGCTTGCCAGCTCAGGCAACAAGGTGGATAATGTCATGGTCATAGTGAGAGGAAATTAGGAATTCGGTGTAGAGGAAAATCGTTCCGACTTGATTCCTAGGCAAAAAAGAAAACCAGGTAGCCAAGTAATTCAACAGTCGCTTTCAATTCTATTCGGTTATCAATGTATTAACAACTCTTCTTTCTTGCAGGTAACGATCTGAAAAAGCCAATCACTTCGAAGGACGAAGCCGTCTTGGCCCAAGTCAAGACTGCTCTTAAGTATATTAGCTTAGAGAATTTTGAAGGACAAGGTCGTGCTACGCATATTCTTCTTAGATACGATCTAACTTATTCTACTTTTGCTGTTGCCAATCATATTCTCATTCCTGAAGGAGAACAACAGTTGACAGCTTTGGTTTTAGAAAGTTTCGTCAATTTGAGGGATATGGGAACCACTGAAGTAGCAAACAGTGAAAGCAGCAAAGTAAGTACTGAAGAAGCCAATCAAGGTGTCGAATGAAGTGAAGGCACAGATAACAGAGGCGTCGAGCAAGCACAGCAGGGCATTTATTCGACCGTCGAGATCATCGAAAGCGAATAATCCAACCAACGACATTTAGAATAAGTGTTGTCTCCTCCTTGAGCTGATTTGGAACGTGCTCAGGAAGAGTTTGATATATTATTGGACGACCTACCTGGGTCCAGAGCCAAAGATATGGCAGGTG